GCCTGACAACACCTAACCACAGTGTCTACACTTCTTTGCACTCTAACTGCAATTGCCCGAAAAGAAAGTCCAGCTTCCCGAAGTCCCACTATACGGCCCCTATCAAACTCACTAAGTTGACGAAATCGTACAGGTCTCCGTACTCTAGGCATCGTAACCGATCGTAAAGGATGTCAAGAACCAAAATCCGCCAACGTTGATTCTTTACTGCGGCTGAAATATTCATTTTTAGAGCGTTAGTGAATTAAAAAAAAGCAGTATTAAAACCGGAATGTCCAAATGATAAAGCTGAAAATTTTTTCACTTGTTATTTACAGTAAGATAAATACATTAACCAACTTTTATTAAAATAAAACCATTTAAACTGGGTGTTCGGATTTATATGTCACTTAGTAGTAGACTTCGAAGTTGAGTCATTTATTTTAACAGTGAGTAGATCTGATCAAAAGAAATGTTTTTTTCCTTTACCATTTTTCTGGTAAAATTAAAGTAACAAAGTTATAGCCCTTTGGAAGTTTGAGTACCGCCCTGTCTCAATAATAATATTATGTGCTCGTGTTTGGCGACAACGGATATAATCCGCCGTATCGGTTCATCGCATCGGAAACAAAAAAGCGAAAGAATTTGGAACGATGTTTTTACAATTATTTTATTCATTTGTATACAGTCAGTGTCAGTGAATAGTGGTGTCTGTTGCGTGGCTCAAACGAAATAAAAAAATGGCACATGTTTATGCGGATCGGTTTCCCAATCGAGTGCAACCAACCCCTCGTGCCTTTGGTAATGTAGTACAACGGGCTCGTGAATCAGGTGACGGCATGCCGGTGCTCCAAGACCTCACGATCAAATACAGGTCCGCACTGAAATACTTGTCGGGAGGATACTATATAAAACAAGGTAAAAATTTTTTTTTTATTTTTACACACATATTTTGGTTTATCTTCCTTCTACAATCATTATCTGAAAATTAATGACTCAACTTCAAAGTCACCCTGTATATGCCCATATCTTACTTCTGGGACAGTTAGAATTGATTTATCACTTTAGTGACTGCAAAAATTCCGTTGAATGTTGATAATTCGTCCAAGCTCTTAATCAAAAGTAAAAACGCTAAATATATCCTCGTTAATTAATTGGGAGTGTGATTCGTTATCTTAAATGGAATATACGTCCTCTTCAGCTTTGGCTAATTATTCAATTATCTCTAATTAAGCCCTGAAACAGTATTTTTTACCCGAAAGAGTGGCGACTCGCTAAATTGGGGATTGCTATTATTAATTCTTTTTTTAGCTTGGAAATACTCCATCTAGATGACTGAATTTGAATGCGAAATAAGGAAAGTACTTAAATAAGTGGTTAGCAGATTCATTGTCTAATATTTTGAAGTGAAGTGCTTTGTTGTATGCTTTTCGAAGCATGCAATTAAATACTTCCAAAACAATGTACTGTACCTTGAGAGCCGTTAATTTCGGTTGGTTGGACTCCAAATCACCGAGGTATTGACCTGGAACGAACTCATATCGTCAATAACGGCAGCTGTAGGGTAAAAGCTAGGCTATTTGTTTAGGGCTAAGAAGTAGAGTAGTAAGTCCACACAACCTCCTCACTCTGTACAAGGCCCAGATAAAACCTAGCCTCGAGCTCTGGTTACATGTTTGTAGTGCTGCCCCCCAGATTACATTATTCATACTCGATGCTGTTCAAAGTCCGACTGATCGATGACTTCTCTAATGGACAGTCTCGGGACCCTTTCGCATCGATGAACCGTCGGCGATCTAGCTCTCTTCTATCGCTATGCCAATGGGCTTTGCTCCTCAGAGCTCTCCTCCATGATGCCGCCGCGCGGTATGCCTGCCAGACAGACCGCCTGACTTCGGTCTCCCGTCTTAACCGTGACGAATTTCGTACATCCAGAACTTGCCGATACGACCGCTCCTTTGTCCCTAGGCTATCGAGATTGTGGAACAATCTGCCTGAGGAGGCTCTTTCCAGTTCTACTTACCTTTGGCGGCTCCACAAACGGATCAACAAAGTTTCTTTAAGAGCCGTTTTACACACAAGAGAATTACTCCGAAAATTATGGTCATAATTATGCAGAAAATTTTTGCTGTCGTATTACACGTAAAAGAATTCTTGTGAAAATTTTCATGGTAAAAATATAAAACCCGTTCTATATTATATGCGCGAGAATCGGCGCAGAGGGTTATTTCCGTGCATGTCAATATCAAATGTCAACGACAACAACAACAACATAACCTCACTTAACATTTGTGGGAGTGGTCCTGTTCGAGTCGTACGAAGGAGCGTTTATTGTTATTGTTTATTCATAATGTCGTGGAATCGGGAAGAATTTACAATGTTGTTGGAGGATTACCAAAAATGGCCAAACCTGTACAAGGTGAAGTCACCCAATTACAAAAACAGAAATTTGCGGCGTCAGGCGCTGGATGCGATAGTCCAAGCATTAAGAAGTTTTATAATATTAACCAAGATCTCGATTTCGAAAATAAATTCAAATTATCGAAGTCTGTTGTCTTTCCGATTATATTGGACGTCATACCCATTAAGGTTATGTCCATTTGAAAATATAACTCTAATGCGCAGGCGTATCATATGAATTACTCCGAAATTTTGTTTGCTTGTGTCATACAGGTTGTAGAGAAAATCTTCAATATTTTTTCCATGCAAATTTTTAGCATAATTTTTTACCATAATTTTCGGAGTAATTCTCTTGTGTGTAAAACGGCTCTAAGATCATAGCGGACGCGGTGCTCGGGTATTTGGGCTTCGGCTTCGGTATAAAAAGAAAAAAGCATACTTATAAATAATTTCGAGATAATGAGATCGGTTCAATCATAATGCCGAGTAGTTACTTCGAGGATATATTTCCAATACTATTAGTATCTATTTCAACAGGTACATGATGTTCCCGAGACAATTTAGGATTTCTAAATTAAATTAAAAAACTGCTACACATTTTAGGAAAAAAGGTTTATTGAAAATGAGTCTTTAGAAATTCGAATTTCAGTATTTGATTATTACGTCATCTAGATTTTTCTCCGTTTTATATTTGAAGTCAGCAATAATCCTAGAGCTGTTGAAACAAACTTTTGAAGTAGGTGCCTCTTCGCAGAGAAATCGCAACGGGGTCAAATCTAGTACCACACAATATCACTGAGTCGAATATACTAAGTTTTTTGAAAGTGTGAGAGCTGGTGATTGATAATAGCAAATTATAGAATTCTGTTATGCCCTGATAAGGACATATTTTTCAATAATTGAAATCCGCACTTCTGAAGATTAATTTTTGACAAAAAAGTTTTATCTAAAAACGTGTGATTACTTTTATATGTCTTATGGAAATCTAAGTATTTTCTGAGACACTTAGACCCAGCACAAAGTGTGCTATATATTATAAGATTCCTAAACAAAATAATTCACATAATGTACAGCAGAACTCCATTCTCTGACCGCTAAGTAAAACAACATATGCCTTAATGCACCACGTTTCGGTCACCATGGTGGCCATTTTCAAGTACAATGACTTAATTTTGTTTATGTGTCTTCCAGGTGGCAGTTCATTTATTTTTTCTTTTAACAATAAGAACAATATGTTTACTTTTCATCATTACTATACCATTAAAAAGTGTATGTTGCTGAACGGTCCTGTACCATGCCGCGCTCGCGGGAAGCCATCATTATAATTTCAACATGTCATCGCGTAAACCAGCGAATCCCAGGACCACTTGGACTAGGCAACCCGCTCCCATCGCCCCCGACAATGGAGTTTCTATCAACATAAAAACCATAAGTAGAACCTTTTTTATTGATTTTATTCAAAGGTATAGGCGTACGCATTCGCTTGCTGGTGTATGACTGGCTGCCCGACCGCCGCTACTATTTGTTCAGTTTATAAGTAGAATTGAGTGAATATCAAATTTTTTAAATTTCTGCTTTTCAAGTTGTCAAGAGAATATGTGAAGGAAGCAGTTATTTTATACTATTAAATTGAAAAACGTTACCAAATAGTAGAAGAGTTATAAGCTGCTTGAATTTCCTATATAATATATAGGATGTCCAAAATAAGGATCCTATGCATGGGGATCTAGAAACCTGTGGGAGATACAGCTTATGTTAAATTAGGAAAAAGTTGCGTATTTACGTGCCAAAAATTGTATGGATATATTTGAGAACATTTTTTCAAATCATTTTAATTTTTTTTAACAGCATTTTAAGAAATATCAAAAAACTTTTTTTTTTTTTTATACTCCAACTACCACGAAGGCCTGAGGCCTAAGCACCCATTGGGTACCGTGGGGCTATGGGGGATACATGGGAAAGGGGGGACGCCACACGGACTCTGGCGAGGGAACACGTGTGCATGCAACATGCACACATTCTGGCTCCGCCTACGAGAACCGCCGGGTGGTACCTCCGCGTTCGACAGTCAGAGACCATCTACCACTTGAAACTTTTCCATTGGCACGTTTTAGTGACACATGTATATGAGATTATGTAAGTATATCAGGCTTAATTTATATTTAGGGGCATCTGCAGTTTCCTATTTCTTCAATTATCCCCTTCATATGGATTTTGCTTGGACATAGGGTCAATTGTGAAGCAGTCTCCAAGCTTCATATAAGCCGAGTACCTCCTATATAACTTAAACAAATATTCCAAGGAAATATGTTATCAGCAAACACTTGAAATGTTTAGGTGAATATTGTGATATCAGTGGTTTATATGAAACAGAAATCTTTCCTGCTCTTTGTCATGATACATACTCATCTATTAAAGTTACAATTATTACTTTTATTACTAATTCAGCAATTTCATTGCATAGATCATTGGTTCTTCAGTTTTTTGTTTGACTGTGAATATGTTTAAAATCATTTCCTCTTACAAGCCAATTGAACATGTGTTTATCTACCTACTTTGAATATCTGAAAGCTCACATAACTACAAAATAAACATATATTACAAGATTTAAAAGATACTAATTAAGTTGTTCTAGTAGTGTTGTGTCTATTTCTATGTTGTCCTCCTCTTGAGCCTCTTTGACGTTTTTGATTTTCCAAAGCAGGTCCATTTCCAACTGGTCTTGTACTACTGTTTGAGGTAGCCTTGGCAGTTCCAGCAACATTATTATGTTGTACAAGGGGTGGTGTAGTGGTGGTCAAATTCTGTGCAGGTGCTCCAACCCTTCCAGCTCCATTATTCGTCCCATTGTTCATCGTTAAACTGTTTGGTGGTCCACATGTTGGTGGGAAAGCTTGGCTCGGTTCACTCATATTGTGCTGCTCATTAAATACCATGCAAAATTCGCCTATTTTTTGTAAATCTCCTCCTTTTGAAGTGTAGAGTGTGAGGCAGTTCCGCCATATAGACACATATCCTTTGGTTAGTTTCACTATGTCTCCAGGTATTAAAAGTTGACTTGCTTCATCCCAAATGCTGGCATTGATACACGCACTCTGATCAGCCACTTTAAAAGTCCTCACTTCACGGTTTTCTTTAGTTAACGTAGGTGGTCCAACATCGAGCACAATAAACACGACATTAACGTTTTTCAGTCCTGGCCTCATATCTTTAATTTGGGTGTAATTATCCATTTTCAACAGAAAGTCTGCAGGCAGAAATAAACCGTTTCACTTCGTCTTGTATCAAAATAGGAAACTAAAAATCTGTGAGTTTATGTTACTGTTTACAAAATGTCAAAAACACAAAATATGTCACTGTCAAGATATCGTTTGACATAGGTTACCTCAATACGTGTTCGTCATTAACATCTGCAACCAGTATTACATACTATATACGAGGGCAATCAAAAGAGTAAGGCAAACTATAAGAAATCGTTAAATATTCTTCTACTTTTCTACATAACTGACATATCGGTCAATGCATTTTAGTAGACGCTGGACAGTTTATATATGCCCATGTCATAGCAGCCTATCGCCAGTTAAATACATTTTTAAAAACAAGTTTTTAATTAAGTACTGAAACGAATTTATGATATAAAAGTAATATCCTCCAATTGGAAATATGCGGCTTTATACTTCTTAGCCTTCAAATGTTAATGAAGCTCGTCTGTCCCAAGTTTTCAGATAAAAGCGTGAGGAAAGAAAGTGTAACAAGCTTTTATTTGAAAACCTCAGACATTGGAGCTTTATTATCATTCAAAGGTTAACACTTAGAACACGGTACTATCTAATCGAAAAAAATTATTTTTAGTTCGGTTTATTGACAGCAAAGAAAAGCTTGTTTTAAAAATATATTTTTTCTTTTATTTATCGGAATTAAAATCCAATCGTTTTTCCTACAATGTGTGGAATTTTTTTGATTCAAATTTTAAATCCTAAATCTTATCTATGATACCCTGTGGTAGTCATTACAAAGTAAATATTTCTCACGTTGGTGGCACCGTACTCTTTCCATTTCCTTCATCTTATTCTATTTTTACAAACTGCAGCGGATACCATGTGCAATGTGCATCTGCAATTACCGTTTAAATCGTTAATTAGAGCTGGAAGTTGGAAAGAATGCCAGCAGTGAATCGTCTCATTTGTAACGCCCACTCGCCATGTTTATTGCTTCTAAATACTCAATGTCCGTTTATAGTTATGTACCTATAAGTTGTTTGTAATTGGTTATTTTCGTCGGATGTGTCACGATCATCTTGTAATCAGTTTTTTTTTGACAAATTTATTCAAATTCAGTACATACTTAGTTTCATCCCCTTAAAACAAGAGACGTAAAAGTAAATTATTATAAAAAAAAAAGATCAGAAAGCCTTGCCGGTCTGTGATCTGGACGTAGTCTAATGAAATTTTTACACTAGGTTACTACTATGCCAACGACAAAAAAGCTTGTGGTTGTCAAAATTGGTTCAGTGGCGGCGGAGCTAGGGGTGAATCACAAAAAAATAAAAATTGCTCAATCTTCATTTTTTGACATTTGAGTGGCTAATGACCATTTTCAGAAAAAAAAATGTCAGGGTTAAAAATTGAGAGCTGATGGTTGTAAGGAGTGATTGAGAGTATATCTCAATTTTTATGTTAGTATATTGCGCCCCAACCTCGGTAGATCTACGCACCTCTTAGACATATTTTACTCATCATAGATTTTTCCTTACATTTGTGTTCAAACTTGAATGAAAGAGAAATGTTTTCGATAAGCGTGTTGCTTTTGCTCTCTGTGGTCACCAGCGGGCGTGCCAGCCTGGTTGACTGTTCTGCAGATCGGTGCTGAAGCAGACGCGGAAGGGGACTAAACGTATGGTCCTGTTTGACTAACTTGATTCGATTAACGTCTCTGTTGTGCATGCTCGTAACTGGCTGTTTTTTCGTGGGCTTACTTTGAGCTGAAGTTAGTCCTTTATAAACTCATAACAGCGTTGCGTGGAGAGTGAAGAGTCAACCTACTTGACCCCATTTTTCATGCTGATGCAGAAATCCAAATACGGCGAGGGAGAGCGACTAATATAAAGATAAAGAGCCCAAAGATACCTTATTAATCGGACTATTGACCTGTCTAAGATTAGCAGCGCTGGGGAATGATCCTCGGACAGATTGTTCCACAATTTCAAACTCGACACCCTTCAGAATGATGTTGGCTGCTCGATATATTTGCTGGTCACAGACAGAGTTGTAGTTTTGTAGTAGTAAGGGCCAGTCTTTGGAATTCTCTGGAAAAGTACTGGATTCGTAATATATCTGAAGGAGACTCGAAAAAACAGGAGCAGGCTCGCTGCACATCTCAATAGTATAATAGCAGGAATAAAGTGTGGACCAGCAGGCTAGTTGTTGATGCCCAGCGATAAAAGTACTCGTCCGACAATCCTTTGTCTGAAGGTTACTTCCCGCATAGTGTAGGAAGCCCTTGGAATTGACGGCACTCGGACATTAGGAGGGACATCCATTCTAACATATCTTTACCCTATGCACACCGGGCCCGTACCCATGGCTCGTCTTATGGGCGTCCCCCAAATGCCCAAAAATCAAGCGAAAAAAAACTGTCTGAGTAATAACGCCACCCTCTCCTCTTGTAAAAGAGGATGTCTGAAATGCCCGAGGCAGTTCAAAGCTTGTCTATGTTCTTAAAGGTCTCAAAATAGGTTCAAAAGTACCTAAGTAAAATAAATCCACTCTTCATATCCTCAATTTGAGGATATATACCTAATTTTCTGATTTCAGTTTTGAATAATCTGAAAATTATAATCCTGAAAAAGGACCACGCGCCATTCTTATGGGAAAAGTGAAAATTTGAGGATGTATTCTCAAAGTGACGCTGATCAAATGTTCTCATTGCACCTACTCGATTTGAAATGATTCAAAGAATCCAGAAGGCTTAGAATTTGGGTATTTAATCCTTATTCAGCCAGACTGAAAACCCTTACTTTTTTCAGCTCGGCGCATAGCTTATTATTTGGATGGAGTCATTACATTACAAATCGCTCAAAACAATTGTTATTGCAAGTACTGTCAGTCTTTACTTTGATTATGCCCCTTACTACACTTAAAGATCGAAGAAATATCGCTTGCAAGTTGACATTCTTCGAAACGCACTATTATACCACGATGAGAACATGATAAAAAATGTATTACTAGGTACTTCAGAAGTAAGTATCTGGACTCAACCCCCTGACCATGGGAATAACAAATCTACTTCTATAGAAATAATGGGCCGCATATTAAGAACTCTGTGTAAGATAAAACATGATGGGTACCGTGGAAAAATGGTTAATATCACAAATTTGGTGTTTTGTAGTTAGAACCGGCAAAACGTAGTCTTAACGCAGTACAATCCCGTGAGTTATAGGAAACACGCAGAAACAATGACAATCCGTAGTTACACCCAACTGAAAACAGCCGTTGTATGAAAAAAAAGATGAACGTCCACTGATCGTCACCGAAACTAGTAGCTCCTACAACAATTTCTGCGACGAAATAAATAAACGTTAAATAATCATTTTTAAGCAAATACCATTAATTTTGTTTTGATTGTTGTATATTCTTTTGAATACAGATTTTTTTAGTTCATTGTGTTTTCCTGTCCCAATTAAAAAAATACTTGGAAATAATCCTGTGATTTTGAGCTACTGAGGTTAGAAAATCAACTTTTTTCTCATGTTCTAGGCCTTTTGTAATAAATTTCCTGTTAAGGTAGTTCTCATATTAGAGCAGATCGTAAAATCTAAGATAGGCATTTTGCTAGTTAATCAACCCTTAGATTTTACAGGGTGTCGCTTAATGCCTGAATATCTCAAAAAAGTTAACGCTAACACAAAAAAATGTTTAAAATCATAAGGAGAATCTCAAAATACAAAAATGAACAAGATGTGCCATTAAAAAATGTTTGGCTTGCTTTCACTTTTGGGCTACCCTGTATATAAAAAAATATAGTTTTATTTTTAATTTAATCTTTTCCAATTTCTTATAAAAAGTAATCTATGGTACTCCATCCTATCTTTGAACCACACTGTACAACGGGTCTAGGAGTCATCAAAGTTTTAAATTCACTTTTCTCGAAAATTACTTTTTGTGACATTCATCTCTTTTTCCCTGTGCCCTTCATAATTATGTTATTTATATTGTATTTCTTACTTCATCAATGGTGCATTATATTATTATTAATTTCTTTTGAAGAATGTTCTCAAGTATATAGTTTTTTTACGACCATGCCCTTATCAGCTTCTGGCTCTACTACCAATTTATTGATGAACATGTTCTAAGCAGCACTTTTCTTTTATGTGAACAATCCTTACTTTTTATCTTCTACAAACGTTAATACTGTCTTTGTACCATTAAGTCTACAAGAAGCTTCCTTGTCTTAAATCTCAAACAAGCCATTTTCGCAAAATCAGTCAAATAAAATCAAAATATTGCTTTACTGGTTGGATATTTATTGTGTCTTCCCTTAATTGGCCTAATATCGTCAAAGTCTTGCCTGAACTAGTCAGATCTTTATTATGCCTTGCCTTAGTTGCCTATAAAAGATTATTTAAGACCTTATTTGGTGCACATCTTAATCAGAAGCTATGCGCTTATCTAAGTAAGGGTCAAATCTTTCGGTTTCGGTTCCGTCAAAAACTTATTTCACCTAGCTTACAGGGGGTTGGTTAGGCGTTAAAACAAAAAGTAAGTCAAATACTTTCCTCTAAGGAAATACTAAACAAATTTCAATCACATCGTCACAGTGGCATAATAGTACGTTTCCACAAATTCCCCATCGTAAGTGATATTTCTCCGACTTTGAAGGGTAGTAAGTGGCAAAATCAAAGCAAAGGTTGACACGACATGTAATAACAATTCTTGTGAGCCAGTTGTGGTGTAATTAATTCATCCAAAACATGAGCTATCTGCTTGGCTATAAAAGGACGGATTTGTTGGTCTGTCAGTATAAGACATACATACTCATCTTCTAAACAATCTGGACCATTTGGATCATTTTAAACCGAGTTTGTATAATGACAACATCTGATCAGCATCACTTGGAGCACGCAACCTCAAATTTTGGAGCAAATATACCGGAATCGACTTTCTCATAAATGTGATGCGAGGTGCTTTAGAGTTGGAAGTATTTTTTTTAATGTTAACGACATGTACCTCACGAAAAACCATGTCACTCGCTTCCGTCGGTTTTGTGTACTATTGTATTATTGCCCCATATGTCGAGTTAGGTTATGCAAGGCAAGCAACAGAGTTCTGCATCTTCATATCTTAATAAATTTAGCCTCAGGCACATACAGGGCACTTATCTTATCTCTAACAAGTATCTCATCTTTAGTGGCACACAATGGTTTAAATTGGCCATTGTGCACTGATAGACTCACAATAAGGGGACAAAGCTCAATGTGTAATTTTGTCCACTAGCAACTGCTATATGGGTATCGTGACGAAAAATGATTTTGCCTTGTAGATTTAACGGTAGATAGCTATTTCTGTCCTTCTATTATACAAGGTGTTCTGAGATTCGAGCGTTCCCACAGCCATCTCATGTAAATCTGTGAATTTCTATTATTCACTTCAGTGAAAAGTGCAAAAGGAAGTGACCGTTTTTTTCGGTGGTAAGCTTTAGGGGTGTCAGGATCTTTTCAACCACAAATTCGGACTCAGCGTCGAAAAATTCAGGGGAATACTATGCTTCAGCATCTGCCATCTGAAGTTCAATTTTAACCCCCTCTAGGGGTAGTTTTTCTGATCAAAGATTCGAATTCGGCGTCGAAGAATACATAAGAATATCATGGTCTGCCTCACGGATATCGACCTTTATTTTTTCTTGTGTAGCTGCGTTATAGATATACCAGATCGGTAAATAGATATGTCGATGAAAAAGTAAATAATGAAATTGATCTATTTGACACCATTCCTCGACTGGTGCCAAGTTTCGTCATATACACCCCCATGTATTTTGATGCCAGCAGTAACTAAATAGCGAACAAATACTCAGTAGTACAATACAGGTCTTTTCAGTCGGTGAGTTGCAATTGCAACTGTTGCTATCTAACAGTTATTTGCATGATTGATTCCAGAAATCTGAAAACAGAGGCAAAAGTGATTCAGAATGGCTACTAATAATTCACTCATAACGATATTGACTTCTAATTACGGATTCAAAAGAATGTTCAGCTCGCATAGTTCGACAGGAATGGATTAGACTTTTTTTAGAACCCATATAAAAATGGTTCAAAATATCAAAATTCTAACAATGCACCTTGAAAAACTACCTGTCCAAAGACTGCATTTACAATGGACTATTATTTTTTAAGTTTGATATCACAAAATTATTGTTTTATTCATAAATATCTGTTTAAAAGAGCAACACGCTTTTGTGGTGAGCTACAAAATTTGCGTCAAGTATATTAACTCTGTGCTTACCACGAAATTTTGGACAAATGGACTTTGAATATGCAGCATGTATAGTATCTAAGTTAATTTTTGCACATTCTGGTATCCTTATAAATTGATACCTATGGAAATCATTGTACCTTGACATGAGACCGTAGAGTAGAACGAGTATCAGTGAATATCTGACTCAAAAATATCCGAGTCGACTTGCATACGTTCTGGTATCTTTGCATACGTTCTGGTATCTTTACTATTTGCCGGCCATGGAGTCCTCATAGCTGGTGATGTTAGACTTTCAACGAGTATAATTGTATTGCTAATTTAGAATGTTTTTGACTATACATGGTGCTTAATATCTGGACAACTTTCAGACGCCCTGGTAGCATTCCATCATCGCGCATCGTTGACGAGCTAGAAAACCGATAGCGCTACCTGCGGCTGGAGAACCATCGGCGTTGCTGAATTTGGATCGGACCCTCCGCAGGTAAAGGATATCGTGTCTTTCTGAGTAGGTGATGTTGCTAATGGCAGACATAAATATATTATGCGGAATATGCATGATATTATGTCTAACAGGTGAGTAATACTATCTCGACAGCGGATAACCCTACGGCTGGAGCACGATCACTCGTGTTACAGATATCAATATCATGTGTAATTAGTGTGATATTGTGTCTGATAAGTGCGCAATACTTAGGGTTCCTAGATGATCGGGATTGTCCCGACATTTTATATAAGTCCAGGGTCCCGGAAAATACAAATTGTCCCGACAAATAACAAAACAAATTTAAAATTACACGGTTTAAAAATCAGGATTGTTTGTATTCTGACTACTGTTGCCTCAGGGAAATATTTAAGTATATTCTAAAAGGCAACGACAATATGTCTAGTAATTTTGTTGTAGTAACTTTAAATTTAATTATGAAAAGTAACTTTTTAATTCCTAATACTTATTTGTCCCGACAATACTCCCAAAATCGAGACTTTTTAAAATTCTGTCGAAATATTTTGAACATCCCATCTGGTATCCATTGTTACGAATTTCAGAATAATAAAACGCCTTTCATTACGATCAGCGACACAATTTACAACCCTCTTCCCCATACCCTAGTTGATTTTTATTCTATTCGTCTTTTGCTGCTAGCTCCGCCGCCACTGGACCGGTTTTCAAAAGTTAAAAGGCTATTCTGTCCTTGGAGGAATATTAACCTTGTGTGAAAATATTACCAAAATCATACCGGTACTTTCCAAGGATTAGCAGATAGACTGACAGACTAGCAAACCGACGTAAATGAGTGGCATGGTTTTTCGTGATGTCCTATCAGAAAAACTTTATATTTGATTTTAGAAATTTCTCTCTGTTACAATACTTCCTTGCCAGTGGCGATATTTTTTATACATTACCCTTTAACCAGGGCAGTCTTTCTGGTCAGTTTGTCTGAGTAAAACATTAGTTATAATACTAGTATTGCAAAAAATCACGATTTTTGAAAAAATCACAAAAAATGTTTCTTGATTATCCAATTATACAGATTTTTGCTTCAATATGACAATAATGAAATAACCTGTTTTCATTATTTTTCTCTATTCGGCCAAAAATATTTGTTGTCTAGATTTATAGTAAGAAAATCTCCACCGCGGGATACAAAAAAACTTGAGTTGTCATGTCGTGCGCGTGCCGAGCTTTCTGTAGGCGCAAGAAAATTCGTTCGTGTTCGTATAATGAGCGGTTGACGCGAGACGTTTCATTTCCTAACTTATAATCAGCCCATACGTTCATAAGTAAATTGCATGTTCCTATTACCTATCCTTGATTGTTTAAGCCGTAGTGTGTTTTCAAATGATAGCTGAAATGTCCCAAAGTATTGGTAGAAAAGATCCAATTTGGCAATATTTTATTGAAAAATCGAATAAATCAGACGGAAAAACGGGACGCAGGGCGAGCTGTAAAAAATGTAAATCTGAATTACAAGGAATTGCTGAACGGATGAAACGGCACTGGGATGTACATTATACACTATCAACTGTTAATATTGTTGTAAACTGCGTTTCCTTACGTTCAATTTGTAAACATTTACATTGGACTGAGGATTACTTATGTTTTTAAGCTTATACATAATGTATGTAAACTCCTAATTTTAAATAAAACTCCTTCCTTTTTTTATTATCCTGATGAGTAATTTCAGTTAGTTGCTTGTTTTATAATTTGATTTAAATCACGACTAGAATTGAAAAAATCGATCAATTTAAATGATGATTTAAATGATTTGATTTAAATCGTCACAACCCTGCTACTAAACCATGGAACCCGAGTAAGTTGCCGAGGATGCCAAATGTAGAAATTTTGCGTTTGGCAAATACCCATTCCGGTGCTTTCGATTGCTTTCATCGGAATTACCTTAAATTTCATCTAACTTCACTGAAATAGCGGCGGTCTATAATATAATTAAAATCGATACCATATAAAACCCAAACGCATACTATTTCAGCGCCCCATCGAAAAAATGTGATCGCACAACGACCTGTGCCTGGCTATGCCATAATACAATTAACTAATTATATACCTCTATAGAGAAAGATTGCCATCGAGCATCGAGTGCGGCTGCAGCGTCACGAACGACTTCATTGAGAGAAGATCTGATAATTGACTGGACAATTCACTGCCTTACGAGCATACCCTCTGAACTACTACAATAATTGGTCAGAAGCCATCTGTCGCGAGGCGCTTTTATGTTGTTACCGGGTTCCGCTGAGTGACAATACGTTTTTCTTTTTTTGAAAATGTTGCGGGGATTGTTAGTGTTGATTATTTTGGTAGGATGTTCTTGTGAAACTGAAGAAAAATTAAGCGAGTTTAGCAGTCATCCAACGACTGTCAAAGCTAGGGAGAATAATACAGTGCTGTTACCTTGCTACTTGAATACCTTGTCAAATGGTAAGTCTTTTTGGAAGAGCTCATTCTAAACTCAAATTCTGCATATGATCTTGAAGAGGTGGTGACAATTTAGTGGAGATTCTGTTAGAACTATACTATACTTCATTTGCAAGCAAAACTGATTTTTGAGCAGAGTCACGCAGTTCATTTAGTAGTAGTTTATACAGGGTGTTCCGTACCTCAATGGTAGGTGGTATGGATCGAGAGCTTTTCATATATGAAAATAAGAGAGTTCTAAATTTATTTTCTACGGATATACAGACTAATTGAACACGCCAAATCTTGAAGCTAGACGATTTTTTCACGTTTTTGTTTTTGTATCGGTGATCATTTAAGCTGAATATACAGGGTGTTCCTTAATGATATGCGAATATTTAAGGATGTGAATCTACATGAAAAATTAATGTTAGTTTGCTCTATAAACTATGGTCCAAAAATGTTTCCTTACAAAAACTCGGGGTGTTGAAGTTTTAGGAAAAAAATGGAGATTAATTAATATTTGCAGAACCGCTTCAGATATTGCACTGATATTTAGTACGTAGTGAAAGTTAATGAAGTCGCATATTTTTCAATGCAAAAATAATTTTTAGCTTTAACAGTGGCGTGCGTACGGGTATTTTTGAATTCCCCGTTCAATTTAAAACAAATGATCTCTCTTGAGTTGCTTTCCTTCGATGCGCCATTTTTTAGTAAAAAAATAAAAACCATTCTATTGTCCGAGAAAATTAATGTAATAATTGAAGAATGCAATTTAGCAATAAATATCCAGTTGCTCTAGAATGTGTCACTGGCTTTTGACATCTGACAAGTCTCTGTTATTCAAATCTGTTCTCTGTGACATCTTTTCCATTATTTAGTTTCTACAATCTTGTTAATAATGGTGAATTATTCAAACGCAGAAATGGCAGAAATGCATTATGTACATGGCCTTGCCGACGGTAATGGTGAGCAAGCCAGACGGATTTATCACCAGAGATATCCCGATCCTGCTTTGCCAGATAGTCGAACCTTTTCTAATATTCATCGTCGTCTTGTTGAAACTGGTTCTGTCCGAAAAGGAACATCTGAAGGTAGACCTCTAAGTGTGAGAACACCTGAAATTGAGGAAGCAGTGTTGCACGAAGTCGAAGAACATCCTGAAACGAGTACGAGGAAGATCTCTAGACACTTAAATATTTGCCATCAAATTGTTTGGAGAATTTAGTTGATTTTTTGTTATATCCTTACCATACTTTAAGAGTACAGGCATTACTTCCCATTAATTTTACAAGGCGTGTGACCTTTTGTCAGTGGTATCTTCAAAAAATTACACAAAATCCGCAATTTGTATCAATGATTCAGTTCACGGACGAAGCTAATTTTTCTCGAAATGCCATTCAGAATTTCCACAATAATCATTTGTGGGCAAAAGAAAATCCCTATGCCGTAACCGAAACCCATTTCCAACACCAGTTTTCGGTTAACGAATGGGCAGGAATTATTGGCAACCACTTTATTGACCCATTCTTCTTGCCGGGACGACTTGACGAACAGACTTACCTCAATTTTCTTCAACAACAGTTGCCTTTGCTGCTTGATGATGTTCCGTTAGTAATAAGAAACAACATGTGCTACATGCATGATGGTGCACCAGCGCATTTCAGAGTAGCGGTAATTATTTACAAACTGTTTATCCAAATCGTTGGATTGGCCGCGGTGGGCCCCAAGAATGGCCACCAAGGTCCCCAGACCTCAACAGTTTAGATTTCTTAAGACACTAGTGTACACAAGTCCCATTAACACTGTAGAGGAATTAAGAGAAAGAATAGTTGCAGCTTGTGATAGAATAAAAAACACTCCAGGGATATTTCAACGAGTGCGCAATTCCATGAGAAGGAGGGCGGAAGTATGCAATGTGAAAGCGGCCATTTTCAACAATTTTTGTAAATAAAATAATTTCTATTTGGCAAACAACTATTGGCGTACCATTTTTTTCTTAAAAAATATCGATGTCAATACCCGTACGCACGCCATTGTTAAAGCTAAAAATTATTTTTGCATTGAAAAATATGCAACTTTATTAACTTTCACTACGTGCTAAATATCAGTGGAATATCTGAAGCGGTTCTGAAAATATTAATTAATTTCCATTTTTTTCCTAAAACCTCAACACCCCGAGTTTTTGTAAGGAAACATTTTTGGACCATACTTTATAAAGCAAACTAACATTAATTTTTCATGTAGATTCTCACCCTTAAATATTCGCATATCACTAAGGAACACCCTGAATATTATTGATTCAAATATCTCATTTTTAGCCGTTTATGCGATACGAAACAACTAAAAACTTCAAAAGTTTATCAACTTGGTTTCAGCCACATTTTATAAAATAATGCTTAAAAATTGAACTAAAGATGTCTTTTAATTCCTTGTATTTTGTAAAGTGCAACCTCCTGACAGTTATACTCTGAATTTATTAATTTGCAGAAATACGTTATATAAATAAAATGCAAAATTAATGTGATTTAATTTTTTGCATTCATTTATTTAATTATATCAATTAATTATACCAACTGATCCCTGCTTTGAAGAGAAACAGCATTTAGTATGCAAATCCACCGAATTTGACTCTTCAGACCAATTCAGTATTATGATGGAAATGCAGAAAAAGCTAATATACAGATTCGGCATTTTCAGCATAGTTTTTGTGCTCTTTTTTTATACCGAAGCAGCCGCTCAGGCAGAAGCTTAAATGCCAGGATACCGCGGCTGCTATGAGAATCCCAAAGAAATCTTGTTGATCCGATTTTTAAGCTGTTAATGTTAGTAGAACTGAGAAAAGCCTCCTCTTGTACATTGTTCCACAATCTCACACCTTCGGAACAAAGGCGCGGTCGTATCGGCAAGTTCTGGATGTACGAAGTTCGACACGGTTAGGATGGGAGGCCAAACTCAGACACATCGCGCGACGGCAACATGGTGGAGAGCTCTGAGGGGCAGAGCCCGTTGGTGTAGCGCTATAAGAGAGCTAGATCGCCGAAGGCCCACCGGTGTGGGAGGGTCCCAAGACTGTCTGCTAGAAAATCCTCAATCCTACCTTAGATTTAGTTACAAAATGTGCACATGGAACATCGTATGATTAATTAATATTTGGCTCTGCATACTAAGTTTCGAAATTGGCCCGGAAGGTCAAATTTAGTGGAATTTAATATTAAATATCGTTCTTCCTCTAAGCAGAACTCATGTTGATGTACAATATCAATTACTATTAAATCATTAAAAAAAATACCGAAATAGGTAATTAATTTTCCATTTGGCTTATCTTTCTTTCTGCGAAACAATAAATTCAGAGTATAACTTACAAGGCGTTGTACTGAATAAAATATAAGGAAATGAAACAAACCGAACCCGGCCCTGAAATCTCGTGTCCCCAAAAGATCTCTCGTTTAATTTCAAGCATTATTTTGCGAAATCTTGATGAAACCAAGTTGATAACCATTGACATTTTGAGTTTTGTGGGACATAAACTGCTAAAAATAACATATTTGAATAAACAAACAACTAAAAAACATTCAGTAGCTTTTTTGTACATAGTAAAATATTTTAATTTCCAGCCTAAAAGGAATGTGTTTTGATAAAAAAAAGGAAAAAGTGAATAAATCGGATCCGGCTCTGGATTTTTTAATCGTCCATCTAGCTTTACGTACATCTCGGTAACTTTGTCATTCTGCAAAATTTCAACAAAATCGGTTCAATAGTGTCCGAGATATTATGTAATATTTAAAATTTAGCATGTTTAGATAAAACCATAAAAACTGAATTTAGAACCTTTTTAATTTTTAAATATGAAAAGGTTTCCATAAGATCTACCATTTACTAAGCCCAATTTAAATATCGGTATTCACCATTTAGATTCTAACTTTTTGCTTTCGTCTTCATTTTGATTTCCCTGATACGTAAAGAACGGCAAACTTTCTTTGATCACCTATTTTAGCACTACCACTTGTTTAGTTTTATCGCGGTTTTGATTCAAATGTAGTTTCAACCTTCATTCATCCACACAATGCTTTAAAGCACATCGCGATCGAATACAGGGTGCTTGCACTAGAGTACTTAAAGTGGCGAGATGTCCCAAACCAAAAGTTGCAACGATCTTCACGTGAACCTGCCGCTACAATTCAACGTGCTACGCAAAGCTCTTATCGTTATTTCATAATATTCTCATGATACAATATCTCATTTAGCCAAAATATGGACAGAACGACGTATTCGACATCTGGGCCCCCGCTGTACCCCTTTCTCTCATACCCTTGATTTTTTCAAGGATGAACCGCGGAGTAGCGTATTGTGAACGTGTACAGAATTTCAAATAAACTAAAAAGCCATTCAGATATAGCACTATACCTTTCAAGATGGTGCGTCACCCCAAACCCTGTGATGGTTGTTCGATCTTGGATTTGGCCATAGACTGTGTGAACTATTCTGGTACGCACAGATGTGAGTTAGGAGCTTACCTTAAGCGTTACGTGAAAGGTGCAGAGTTAGTGATAGTGAATTAAGCTGAAAATCACATCTCGAGTAGCAGGACCGAGGAGCGAGAAGTGATGTGGTTTATACAGGGTGTAATACGTTATGATAGTCATTATTTAAATGAGTGATAGAGGGGGTTAAAAGAAGCAAAAAGTTTCATATAACATGGGGGTCAAAACGGCATTTTTTTAGAGAAAAGCGACTTCAAAGTAAAATAAAATCTGGCAACGCCGCAATGCCAGAGGCAAATTACGACGGAACGCAGTGTAAATAAAGATAGAGTTTGTTATTTTTGGCTTTTAGGTATTATTTCATTATTTGATAATGTACTCGTACAATTAAAAAAAAAACGGACTTACCACTAATTGTCTCAGCGCTTCACTTGGTATGTGAAAGTTTATTGAACGTATTAAAAAAATCCATTTATAAATAGGGAACACAATTTTGATACATACATTGTTTCTCTTTTTAAAACCCACACTGCACTTTTT